TATAATTATTTTTTTTTTACCAAAAATAATTAGAAATCGACTAATTAATTGTGTCAGCCGACACTTAATGTCGCTGGAAATTCATAAAAAAAATTTGCAAGTTGTTTCATTTATCAGTAACACTAGTAACAAATATTTCCTAACGATAATTAAATGATTTACCACCCGAATACTCATATGAACGGTATTTTCAGGCTCAGTATAGTACCCTGAGAAAATGTAAGTATGTTGACGCCCAGAGATTAAATAAAAACCAAAGCTAGCCTCTCCATTAAATTAAAAATATTGTAAATGTTATTGGGTAAAATTCTCAGTTGCTGAAATAGCACGACCAAAGCTGGGCAAAATGAGTAAATCAGGGAGAGTAATGATAGAGCAATACAGTAACTATTATAAAATCAAAAATATTATAATGAGTATTTTGATTCGCTTCAATAGCATGCCTAAAATGAGGAAGTAATAAATATAAAATTTGATTATTTTAAAGTGAGAACATTTGATTTACTTCCATACGAACTTGGTGGAGCAGTTCAAATTTTCTTCACCGGGGTGAGTTGTTTATATAGCAGTTAAACATCTTAATTAGTTTAACTTTTTCTTCAAGCATCTAGATGTCAAGTCAAGAAATGTTGTCAAGTTAGAATTTTCGTTAATTAGGGTCAATCTGGGTTATTATGATACAGAAAAACAAACTTTTCACCTTATCTCATATACCTTTGCATGAAAGAACTGAATTCAATGTGCCTTTTAGTGCTAAAAATGTTTACAAAGTAAAAAGTAACTTGAACTACCACAACTCTTTGGGAAGTAAAGTTGGCTGTCCCATGTTAGTAGATTTACTTGCATGTAAAAGATCCTCAAGCCTAAATGACGCTTCTGAGCTAAATTCAACTCGCCTGTTTCTCGCCCAAGAAATACCTCCTTTCTCTGCTAGTTGATGAAAGGAGCGTATCGAAATTTGCGTGGTCAGACGGAAGAGCGGGCCTGATGGCTCGAGTCTCGCCACGTAAAAAATAAGGCAAATTCAATCCAAATCAAAAAAAACTCTTGGAAAAAAAAAAGTATCAAAATGGCCCTACCTAATGGAGCTAATAATAGGTAAAGTGATGTAGCTTAAGATCTCTATTTTGATTGGGAAAAACGAGAGGGCTATAGGGAGACATCTTAGGGTCTAGTGTTTCAATAGTGTTTTATTTCTTTATCTTTTGCTGTGCCCAAATACTGTAACATTTTGAGTTCCTGCTGTATGGTCATTAATAATAGAATATATTTCCTATTATTTGCTATTTTTTGTTAATTTTGAATACCAATAAGTAACTTTGCAATGGCATCTGAACACCAGGTCTCAGTTAGTAGTAAGGGAAACCAGTGTTCTATTGACAAACTATTTGCTACTTTTTATCAACCCAACAATCCCCAACCAATTTTTTCCCAACTAATTTTATCCCCAACCAATCTTTCAGGAAATGCCACCGGAACCCAGCCTTTTAGAGTAGTAACACGAGTATTCTACAGTTCCTGTTTTTCGCTGCCTATCTCTATTTCTTTCAATCTTCCCAGGTATCATCTTCTAAATCTTACGCTGCCATTATTGATCTTACATCTTCCTTCCACTTCCTTCTTGGTCTTCTCCTATATCTTCTTTCTTCAGGATGGTATTCCCACATCTTCTTTGATAGTCGCTCACCTTATACCTTATACCTTATACCTCATACCTTAATAGAGCCTTTGCTTCTATCATTTCTAAGGTTGATTTTCCAGGTTTCATTATTTCTATTATTCTTTGATTTTTAATTCTTTCCTGTCTTGTAACCTGACACTGACTCCAATATTCCATTTCTGCTCCTTGGATCCTACTTCTATTCCTGGCATTAATAGACAATAACTCAGCTCCATATGTGAATAGACTTTCAATAATTGTTTTATACACTGTAATTTTTATTTCTTTTTATGCTTGAATTCCATGTCAATGGACGTAACGATCTTACAAGTACAACTTGCCTACTTCTATTTGTTTTGCCTTGAACATCTTTGCTATCACAACCCTGCCTTTTAAATCACAGAAAAAATTTATTAAATTAATGCCATCCATGGGATTCTTGTAAGCCACTCTTCATTGAGCTTGGTATCTTATCTTTGCGTGTTACGTGGATTCTGTGTTACAAATCTCTAGTTTTGTCAAAACTGACTTACTAAATGATAGGAACATATTTTCATGGAATACTGATATTTATAATTGCAACACGTCAGAATTTACATTCATCAGGTGCCAGTATTAACAACTCGTTACAAGAAATCTACATATAATTCCATGTAGCAAACATATTTTACAACACATTGCCAAAATACATTAAACATTATCAAAATCGATACACAGAGGGTACTCCCAGTAAAGATAAAAAGGTTCCCTAAAAACAAATGCCATGTGAAAGCTTAAGACTAGTATGACTCTAACATAAATATAAGATTTTTGAAAGGTTTCTTAGCCCTCTGCCACCTCTGGAATTGAAAACATGTTTGATGTTGTTGTTTTTTGTTTTCCTTTTTTTGTCAACATAACATTATTTTATATCAGTGAAAAATATATGATAAATAAGAAAATAATTTATATCATCAGAAAAATATTTTGTGATATTTTATCTGTGCCAAATTCAAAAGCTATTTTGGCTTAGGGCTTCATGTGCTTTCATATTTGGGGAAAATCAAAGTGCGTTGGTTATCCAGAAGTGGGATTTCTTGTGTGGGTACACCAATACATTGAATTTTCTTTCAACCAATCGATTACGGTTATGGAGTAGCCCTACATTTTTCAACAGTTATGAAGAGTTCAAAAAGAGGAAAAAGGAACATTGATGTAAAATTTTATTTACTGTCACACAGGACAAAGACCTGCAGTAGCAGTTTAAAGGAAGTAGTACATGTAGCAGTTTAAAGGAATTCAATCCTGAAGAGAACTATTGAATTTTTATGCTTAATATAAAAATTAAAGTTAAAAAATCAACAATTGTAAATGAAAATCTGAAGTTGAAATTGAAAATCTAAAAATATGACTAATTGGTAAGGTCTTCTGAATTAATTTGGCCCAAGAAAAGTTCATTAGCACATTACCAACTCAAAGTTGTTACTGTTCACGTCAAATGTTGTTAACTGTTGCAGTATTTTGTTTGATTTTTAGAAATAATTATCTGAGACAAAAATCTTTCTGTTATCATTGTATGAAAACTTTCCCACCTATAAATTTCAGATCATTGAGCATATTTCCAATAGAGCATGTTTGCCATCTTTAATCATGAGTCAACACAGTTATTTGCCCTTTTGGTAGTTACTTCTGGTTCTCTTGAATCACAAATACAGTAAGATCTGTCTAAACCGGAAATCGGCTTAACCAGATAATTTCTCTGTCCTGTGAAGATAAATGGCATTTTACACAGCATAAAATGGAATCTGTCAAACACGAAAATGGAACAGTTTTCATGACCTACAGAGAAAAGAACACTAATAAAATGGAATTCCCGTGAATTTAATGCAATTGGCAGAGAGACACAAGATATTCTTAATGAAACAAATCCATCTATAAGTCTGTTTTAAATTCTCAATCCCTGTGCCACTAGATTTAGTCATAGCAGCTGCACAGGGGAGAGGAGTGTCAGCTGTCAGCATAGAATTCAACCTGGGCTTGTCTCTCCAGGTGTAGGTGGTACAGGAATTCTCTCCCTCCTGACTGAGTATGGGAAGGAAGGTAAGGAAGGTGTATGGAAATGGCTTCTATTCATGCAACTTCTGCCTTGCACTGAGAATCATAATCTCTTGGCTAGAGACACATTGCTTGAAGGCATGTGAGGGTATCAGAAAGTCATAGTAATCTGGGCTGTGATACATTGTGTTGAGAGAGTCAGCAAGCCGTCCGGCTGCAGCCACTAGGCAGTGAGGTGGTGTGGATTTTTGAGTTTCAAAACCGGTTTAACAGTAGATGGAAAAAAAAAAAAAAAACTCTAACCTTAAATGAAAAGGTCAAACTTATAGAAGCAAGAGAAACTCGGAAGCTGTCAATAAAGAATGTTTAATATTCATGTATTGGTGGTTTCTTCTATAAATATGTTAAATGTTAATGTATTTTATTAATAATAATAAATTAATGTAATCTACTGGTTTCAGGATGGAAATATCAATAACACAAGTGTCGTAAAATGGGCAACACCCTGTGTAAAATGAAAACCTCCCTTAAACAGAACATATTTTTGTCCTGATCGATTCTGGCTTAATCATTTTAGTATATGTTGCGAAATGAAGCATTCTGTTGCATCCTGATGTTTTAACTCCCTAATTTTTAAAAGTAATTTTACCTCCCAAGAGGATAGAGTTGTTTATAGAAGAAGTTAAATTCATAAAATAAATGAAGAATATTGGAAATGTTGATAATATGATTATAATGACTTATTGAAATGTATCCAATATAATTTGTTTTGATAACTATTAATCACTGGCCACAAAAATCACAATTGTGAGTAATTGTTTACATGAACACACTTAACTCGGGGAAACCAGTGAATGCATATGTGTTTAATGGATTGTGTTTGTGAGGACTTGTATTGTAAGGCTAGGTTATAAAGAATTATAAGAATACCTAGCAGATTTCTTTTACTCTCACAAAGAATAATGTTTTGCATTCTTATATCATTATAATATATTTCCCTATGTATTCAACAATGTTATTCAACTATTCTTGTATTGGTAAAAGAAATTTTGCATAGCAGTTTAATTTTTGACTGAATTTAAATATCAACTTGCAATGTTTTACAGAATGCTCTAAAAAGGTATGTTTTATTCAAATTAAAATTGTTCTCTCAAGCTTTGTAGTACCAGTTCATTAGCTTCATTCCATTTCTCAGCAAAGGATTGTTTAATGACATTCATGTTTAAGATTTAGGAAGTAATAGAAGAACTATTCTAATATAACTTTTGAAATGTATTAAGTCAAAACTGTATTTGAACTTTTTATTGGAAACTTTTTGATTCTGACAATGTACTAGTACTGAAAATATTAATTTATTTTGAATAATTCACAGGGTTATTGAAGTAAAATCCTGAGTGACGTTAAAGGTCCAAAATGCAGAAGAGAAACAGTTTCCAGTAAATATTTCTGCTTCTTTAGAATACATTGAAACATCATCATTGGTGTGGCTTTGCTTACAGGCCAAAGACTGAAGTTTCCTAATTGCAGTTTTATAAATCTTTTATCATTCCAATCATGACAAAAAGAGTTTCAGTTTCTCATTCAACTGCTGCATTTTTATTGAAGTGATCAAAGTAACAAGAATATTACATTTCCATTATTTTACAATTGCTATTGTATGACACACTCAGTGAGCCCAAAAGTAATACAAAAGGAAATTCATGCTAAATTAATCATTATGGATTCAAGATTCTGTTTTTCTGCACAATGTACACAAGTTATAGTTACATATTTTCCATTTTATACCATAAAGAAATAATCTAACTTTCAAATGAAAACATTTCAGAATTTTTTGATCTTCCATTCTGAAGACATTTTGCAATGCAGGGAACATTTTGGTACAACATAAGCCACAATGAAAGACAATGTTACAATGCGCTTTACATATTTTACAAGTACATAGCAGAACTGGGATTCAGGCACACTTCAACATAGAAAGATGGTTTTATTAAGTTGTGGGGCCTATGAATATAGGCAAGCATACAATAGGTTGGATTTAATTTTCACAAGATATCTTATATGCTAAGGCTACAGCTAGAGCTATTGTTAATATCATAAACTTTAATGACAAATCATGAAATTTTTTTTCATAATGATCTGATGAAATGAATTGAAAATTGATGTCCACTTAAAAACTATGTTATTTATTTATAAACATTCTAGTGATTTCAAGTCATTGGTTCAATCCTAATTCAACTTATATTTATGAAGCTTCCAAGTTCAAAATTCTTCTTCAATTTCTTGTTATTCTTCTTTTTCTTCATTCTTGAAATTCATATGAAGAAACCACACTCTGTGGGCACACTGCAAAAGGCAAGCTCCTTGTTGTGAAGACGTAGGTATCTAAGAAGATTTATCGATAATGGCATAGTGCGACCCTGTTTAGCGAAGTGCCTTTTTTAACCGTTTTGTGTTTTGTCAGACCTAAAATGGTCTGATACGTTGCTCACTGCAAAAACTTTAACCACATATCAGTATAACACAGCAGGGAGCTCAGGCAGGAACATCAGCTTCAGTTGTCCTTAGGAAATTTCTGATGTAATTGCCTAGTTGTAATCGAAGTTGGTATGGGAAGGTGTGTAGAGCTTTGTGAGCCATTGGGCAGTTGAGCTGGCAGAAGCAACAGAGCTTCTAACTCAATTGTTGAGAAGAAATACTGCATGGAAATAGAGTCATAGTTTGCTGGTAAACAAGAATTATTAGAAAAGAGAGGAATAAACCATCACACACTTGCATCTAGAATTGCACTATAAGCAAGCGTTGCTTCGTAAAGAGCTCCCTCTTGTCACACACAATTTCAAACTAAAAAAGACACTTTCATATTATTTGGTTTGGTCTCTAATAAGTCTTGTCTGTCATTCAGCACAAAATTTAACACACAAACGCACACTCTGAAACAACAGATGTCAATGTTCATATTTCTCTCTCTCTTTCTCACTCTCTTACAATTTTGTTTATCTCAAGTTCCTTCTTCACTTTACACACAGTAGCAGAATATCACAGATCTACTCCAGCACACAACAACGAGTTCTGTAGTAGTGCCAATGCATATGTCTACCATGCACCCAATGTGAAAAATCACACCTCAGAGGCTGCAATGGCTGAACGGCGCACATTGGCGCCAGTGGACGCTGGAGCGTCGGCTGCTGCAGGGGCAGACAAGGCTGCTGTGACAATCCGACGACGGGGCCGAATGAAGGTGGTATACCACAGCCAAAAGCCCACTACCACGAGTAGCAGCTCAAGCGCGTCCAGTAACCGGCTATCAGACCAAAGGACTTCTGTGGTAGATCTCGTTAGGGTGTGCATTCTGGTTGCTGTCATTCTGACGGGTGCTGCATTGCTGTGTAAAATTCATTTTTCTTTATTCAATTTGAATGCTTATTATATTGAATAGCATAATAATAAATCATGCTTTACATGCAAAAGCCATGCTGGAGAGCAAATAAGTGCATTTTGTCAGTAGAATTCATATAGTCAGAGTACTTCCGAAACAATTCAAATTACAAATGTATATTTGAACATATTAATATCAAAAAATTTTTGTAGTTTCAAAAATGCATAAATCTCCTAAACATGAAATAAATCACAGAAATAATAATTCTGAATCAAACCTGCAGACATTGTGTCTTAAGACAAACCAATATACTATAAACTGGAAATGTACATTTCTTACTCCACTAATGTCTTTGCACAGATAATGTTCTGTGATAACTTATAAGAAAATAAGTTTGATCCTCCTCACAATGCAATTTTGTGAAGTGAATCAAAAAAAACTGCTTTCCTTCCAACGAAAATTGCATAATGAAAGAAAATTTATATGGATAATTTAAGAATTAAAAGGAAAGAAGCATTAATGTGTGAACATGTAATACATTTTTAATACTTTTAGATGGTTGAACGCCTTTCTTGAAAGGTTAAAAGTGAAAGAGAAAATTAGTTTAAAAAAGTTTAATGCTATGAGAAGGCGAGTCAAAATGCATTACCAAATATATGAACATAAAAAAATTCTTTAAAATACTTCATAATAATTTTCAGAACTCTTAATATATGCATAGGCAAAGAAGACTCCTCCAGGAAAGTATTTTAATATTTAGAATGTGGAATGTTTCTTCTTCAGTATTCATACAACCATCGCCAAATACATCACAAACAAATACTTACAGCTTGTTTGCGCTCCCAAGTTTTCATTGCCATCTTGTACTTCTCAAACTCATGGCACCAGTCTGAGTAGATCTTCTGGTAGTCATGCGACTTTCCTGGTGGTGCACAACGATGAGCATCAACAGTTATATTGTAACTGCAGAGAAGAGCTCCTCCAAGCCAACAATCATAGCGACCAGAGTCTGCCTCTGTCACTGCTATGATGACCAGGCCTCGCTCAGAAGTCTCTATATATTTGTCAGCCCTTTTGACAGAAGAAAAATGTTACATAAAAATCTTATTGTCACACATATCATTTATTGTTCACATTTGAAATATACATGTTCTCATTTAATTTACTTAATCTTATCAAGGTTAATATCAACCAACCTGTACTGAATCTGATAACGGCCTTTCTCCTTGCTGTAATGATACCATGTAACGGTCTGCCTGCTCAATACTTCTGGCATTCGAAGAAAACAGCCTAAATGAATGCTCTGACCCCAAGTTACAACCATTTTCTTCTTCACAACACTGCTGTCACATATGCTTACTGTTCGATTTGCAACATCTTGAAGCAACCTGTTGGAAAATGTTCTCGATTAGTGGTATTGTAATAGTAATGTCTCATCAACACTTTTTATTTTTTCAGAAACATCAAACAAAATACATAAAATAGAATTTATTACGAAAACAAAAAGAAACTAGAAGAAATAAAAACATTTACTAATTGTATATTCAGAAACATTTTTTATAATAACAGAACAGTTCTAAATGACTGTTATGCTAGTGAAAGGTAAACTTATGTTTCTTTTAACTAAATTCAAGCAGTTAATGACATTTGTACAATTATAACCTATTTGTACCTGCGTGAACATATCACACTTCTTAAATCATTGTTCATCACAAAAAACATGATATAATGACCAGACCAAAAACAATTTTTTGTCTTCAATCTCTTTGATGACCCTTGGGGAGTAATTTCCTATTCAGCAATAGCACGCATACGGTATTTTGTGTCAGTGCAGTCTTAAAAATCAAGAAGTTGGTGAACAAAAACAGAATTCTCCTTTAGTATATTATATACGGAAGGGATATTTCAAATATATTTTGAATATTCAGTATTCCAACACATCCACAGTGAGGGGATTCTGTGAGGGGTGCCCAAAGAAAACCAGGGGTCTGGGGCAGTTGATCTGTTGATCATTTCAAACAAAAAATCCCTATTCCCCTAATTCCAAAACAGGGTTTCATTTCTCTATGCATCAGAAATATCTTATAGCATTAAATTTGGATTAGAGGTGAATACATTTGTAAAATTTCTTTTAAATAAATAAATTAATTTAAAAAAAAGAAGAATTGGGAATTAAGACCTTATTGAAGTCTGGGCTAGGGACAAGTTGCCCCAGCTGGCCCCCTTTTGGTTGCCCCTGTTCACTGGTATTAAGAACATTGTCGTCCTTGTCCATCCCATCGCTCTGACCCATTCATTCAAATTAAGACAATTAGAAAATAATACATTTTCAAGTGCATTCTTGAGAATAATTTGTTGTTTTTTTTGTGCAAGAGAAAAAGTTCTTTGCTGCACTCGTCCATTCTTCAAGATGGCCCCTCCTGGAGATTTGAAAGTTCTCCTCTAGACTAAATTATCAAATCACACCCTATGAAAAATCACATATAAATGTGAATATTTTATTTGTATTTAAATTCGTGGTTGCCAAAACACCATCAGTAGGTTGTGATGAGTAACTAGGGAGTTAAAACTATGATGCAGGGGTCACTGGTTCTGAAGAGCTCATGTCCAATATTAGCATCTCATATTGCAAATATGAGGTAAAGCAAAACGATTGAAGCTCTTTATATATCTCAAGGTTCATTCTTAGGTCAAATCTACAACCCACTCACCCAGGCGCGTAGGGCTTGCAGGAGCTGGAGTCCTTGTCCCAGCCGCAGTAGGGGTCGTGCACGCAGCGCAGGCAGTTGTCGTAGCGGCGGTTGCACATGACGAGGTCGATCTGGCGGATGCGATGGTCGGACGCCACGTACAGAGAGCGGTGCTCCCGGGAGATCTCCATGAGGCGAATGGGCTCGCCCGGCGTCACGTCGAACATGTCGAGCAGGCGCGAGCGCGAGTCCTCGGCGTCCTCGTCGTACCACTGCACCACTTTGTACACGCGCCCGTTATCTGCGAAGCACAGCGAGCGAACTCGTTACTTTCGGCAAGCCCGTTTTTCCACTACGCGGAGTTCAGGACGTTTGCTCCTACTAAGTAAATCTATAAATCGTCTCTACTACATTTTGGGGGAAAAGAATAACTTTCTAACGAAACAATAATATTGAAAAACCCCGAGAATAACTAAATACAATAGTACATAATGAGCCAAACACTGTGCTCATTAACCCATTATAATAAAATTCAATAAAACTTGAAATATTGTAATCTGGATTAAATAAACAATTTTCTGCATTTCTTTACCACCTATATTTATTAATAAACACATTAAATTTTTTTGTAAAGAGATAATTATTATCTTTTATCCGTTCTCCTGAATTCAACGGCTTAATTTGGCGGTAGATGTTTCTTGGAAATTCTGCTAGGCTTCACGAAGCCAAAAGCATTAATTTTTACTTACTTGTTCCGGCATAGTAGACGATGTATTCTTTAATTGAGGCGATGAGGTCTATTTTCAGGCGATCCACTACGAGATCCGTAAAGAGAAGGTCGCGTTTGAAGAAAACGGGTTTTCCGTGCTCGTGTGCCACTGCTGCGTCCATGAGCGGATGGGATCGAATGAAGTTCAGCACCTGCACAACCAACAAAATAATCTCATTGGAGGATCTTCTCTAAGGCCACTATCAAATATAATTAGATCGTGATTACAACTTCAGAAATCTCCAAAGAAAGTTTTCATATTTTTGTGTCTCGTAAAACTACTTTTCAAAGCTTGTTAATTAGTTCTGCTTTCAGTTTAGTTAGTATTTTAGTTATAAATAACCAGAGAATTCTAAGAAATGAAGTTACTAGATTTTTAAACCTTTTCATTAAGAGGAATCTTGATTGTATTGACATTGCTGGAAATGGTGAACGACTTAAGTGTTACATTCTCAAAGTAATTACTACCGGGTCTTTTCTAATGGACATAAATGGAAAAACATGGATTCCATTAAACACGTTCCTCTTATCCACCGATGCACGGGGCTACTGGTGTACACCTTTTAATCGAGATTCAAGATAGTTAAGGGAATTTTAAAACATAAACTATATACAGGAATTTTCAAAACTATAAACAGGCTGCTTGTGTTTGGTAGTTGTACCATAGTTTTAAGGTAAATTATCGCTCCCAAAATAGAAAATTACTAGAATATCAAGTTGCGTGTTCTGGTCCAATTTAATAAATCTCTTCAGGACAAGCTTTTCTCTTCGCGTTCGCTTCAATCCGCGCGAGAGAAGGACCTTCTCGGTCTCCAGGCTGGCCAACGTACCGTGTCCGGCAGCGTCTCGGTGTCGTTGACGCAGTCGCCGGGTCGCGGCTCGGGCACCCGCGAGGACAGCACGGGCAGCCAGGCGCTGGCCGACGTCGCCTGCTCCTTGAACTTGCCGCGGAACGCCTCTTGGATGTCGCGCAGCGTGAACACGCAGATGGCCGAGCCCACCAGCCCGGTCATCGACGTCGTGAACACGCCGTAGAAGCGGGTGTCGTCGCCGGGCACCTTGTACACGCTCTCTGCCAAATGAAAATGAGCAGTTCTCAAGTGCAATTCATAAGCGGATCACTCACGAATTAACTCCAAAAGATACATTTTATTTATATTTAATTAATTATGTAATTAATTAACATTTCAAAAATCTCATGTTTTGCAAAGATCTCACAATACAGAATCTACTTCCTCCTCTATTTTTAAATAACCAGTCATAAAATAATACAGCGTGAAAGTGATGGATTCAAACTTTTGAGTTGCTGCCTCTAGCTTAGTTTTTCAAACTCAACGTTAGATACACACAAAACAAGCCTTAACACATTTTATTTATTCCCCCCCCCCAAAAGTTATGATACTAAAGATTTTTTCTTGTGCAAGAGTGAACACATGTGAAAGTGAAGAAAAATAAGTAAAAATACAAATGCACTTAATTTTTATCTAAAACCCAGAATACACTATTATCTATACGATTCTTAACATTTTTTGGACGAAATAAACAAAACATGAATGATCAAATTTTCCAGAAGTTTTTGAACTCCGCATCTGAATACATATATTTCCCAGTTTCGATAGAGCCACTTGAGCAGAGATATCCTAAAATTCTGAAAGTAATTTTCAATTCACTGTAAAAAATAATATCCTTCAATATTTCTTGCATTACTTGGTTTTTGTTGGAAATTATGGTAATTTTGAATCAATGAACCGATCTCAATCAGGGTTTGATCCACCGGGTGAATATTGAGACTCGTTTTGCTGCTGGACAATGAAATTAGATTTTATCCTTTACCACCAACAACAGCTACACACAATGTTTTGAATCAATAAAAAAACAACATCGCATAAACATTCAAAAGTGATTCAAACTTGCAAAACTGAAGAAAATTGCTGTGTGTTGTTCACAGATTCGAATGTCTAGAAGGGCGGATAACTCATGTCACTTACGGATCTCGTTGAAGTAGAAGGGGAACTCGCCCGGGATGGAGCAGTTGAGCCGCGCCTTGAGGTAGGTGGCCCAGTTCTGCGACAGGATGTTCTTGCCACCCGTGTCCTTCTTGCAGACGCGCGCCACTCGGCTGTACACGCTCTTGCCGCAGTTGATGTACTCGACGGCCGTCTCCCGGAAGAAGAACAGCACGTACTGCCCGATGTCGTACGACCCCACGAAGTTAGGCTCTGCAACACGAGAGAAGGGGTTCGTGAAAGGTCTTGCGACGGAAGGAAGTGAACAATAAACTTCTTTGGAACATGCTGCACCTCCGTACATACATACAAAATGATACTTCGCTTGGAGACATTAACACACAAATATACTATTTCTTTAAAGGAGACGATAATATGGAGTCTTTCGTGGATTCATAACCCCAAAACTATTATTTCAAAAGAAAGTTATTTTCGAATTGTCGTAATCGTAAGTTCATAGTTTTTATTAATAAATAGTAAGTGATGTGTTCTTTAAAATGTCTGAACTAAATCTTGTTTTTTTTATTTGATACCTGCCCATTATGTCAACAAAGATGTCATTCGTATTTGACATTGTACTAAATGAGTGAGTAAAAGTTTGTATTATAAATAGGACGCATGATTACGCATGGTTGTTTACTCGTGTCAACACGTTCAGTAAACGATGATTATTTTAGAAGGAATATTCCCTTTTCCTTTTTAATGTCCTATTTATAACGAAGTAACTGTATTACAAAGTAATATAGTTATTCACATCAGTATATCATATGCCAACCCTTTACATCATCCATGAAAAAAATTTCCGCAACACATTGTATCAGGGATAGTCATCATACGATGCAAAAGAAAGAAGAAAAAACAAACAACACTTGCCCTCACCCAGAACACGTTCATCCCAGTTTTCAATTTACGAATGCCTGTTGCGCGCTCCAGGGAACCATATCCCGAGAAACCTCCAGGTGCCATTCTTTCAAGATCATCTGCGCCTATTCGCCGAGCGCTGGAGCATGGCGCGCGGTGCATCTAGCGACGCTCTCCTTTCGCACTGGGCCGCGCCGCGACGCGCCGCGCTCTCTCATTGTCCTCGCGGAAAACAAAAGGAGACGTTTCCAGCCGGACGGAAAAATACAACACGCTTGCCCGGCCTCTCGACGCAGGCAGCGCATCTTGTCACGCACGCGGAGATTCGTAGTGGCTGCTGCGCGTGGAGAGAACAAGAAGGGAGTGAAGGAGATGGGGGGGGGGTGACAGAGTATGCAAGATAGAAAGAGGTGTAAAAGAGGGAGGAACGAAACATCTGGGGGATCAGTTCCCGTCGTCACTCCGCGGAGAAGGGTCTCAAAATACCCGAAAAGTTCTCTAGGTTTTGGGAGTTGGAGCTGAGCAGAATTTCTTGCGTAAAGAAGAACTTCACACCTTGGTGTAGCGAGACGGTGATTACAGTTCGTGGGCATGTCGTTACCTCTAATGGTAGCGGTTCTAAAGTTTTTTTTTTTTAGAAAAATGCAAATATTTTTGTGTACGTCAAAGAAATCAGATTAAGTACTTGCTAATGACTGCTGGAGAGCCATGACAGTCGGAAGGGAAACGGAAGAACAGCGAGAAAACCGGCCACAGATCCATTTTGTCTGTAAGAAATTCAGACCGGAATTGGTACCACTAAAGCTCATTCTCAGATAGGAGGGCGAGCGTCCAACTATAGCCGCAGACGCCCAAACGCACCGTCTCACTGCCAGAAGCTTGATTGATTAGTGATTCCATGCGCGTCAACGGCTACGGTTATTAGTCCCGTTAGTGTAGCGCTTGTCTTTAGTGCGAGTGGTTGCGGTGATATTCCTTAGCTGGAGGGTGAGATCCGGCGCCGCACTTCTCATCGGCCAGGGAGCGGGGGAGGGGTCCCCAACCAGAAATCAAATCTACCACCAGTGGGGCACCACCCCAGCCTGCACAAGATCTAAGCTCCCGACATGCATGCTACATTACTGAATGTAACATTAAGCGCGTGTTAAGTAAAGGGTGAGGGTAGGACAAGGAAGAAGAAGGAATGACCGCGCGCAGTCTGTGGTTCGTTTATTGGTACTGATCAGAGAAACCACGCAAAACTACCGATCAGAGCAGCTCGCCGCTAGAATTCTCGTGCAGACAGCAAATGAATTCGACCTAGCTAGTTAAGAGTCGAAAAGCCTCGGGACTCCAACCTTAGGACCTCCCGATCAGAGGCACTACATTGACACCACGATGCCGTAAGCCACCTACGTCGGTAGTCCCAGAAACAAGCGCGCGACGCCAACGGGTTGCACCCTTTCTCAAAGCGCGCGTGGCCTGACTTTTGTCGCGGCGGAAACGCGCGTCTGCCGGAAGCGGCGGCGGCGGCGGGCGGCGGAGGGGAGAGCGCTGATTGCACAGCGAGGAGAAAAAGCGCGTCGGCAGAGGCAGAGAACTCCTGCCGCCGCGCCGTCGCCCGCCGACGTCGTCGTCTTCCTCGTCGTCACCGATTGCGAATTCACGGCGACCGCATTCACTGCCCGGAACGACGGCGCTAAATACTTCATTTTAATTAATTAAACTTCGAGCCTCGCCGGCCCCGTTGCGAGGCGCTCTAAGGACTCGCGCTGACGTCATCGCTTGGGCCGGCGCACCCCCCGGGTGGGTGTTGGGTCTTGGAAGGCAATTATCAAAAAAAGAACTGTCAAGTTGGAAGGTAAGGTTTCAGAAAAAAAAATAGTTGTTACGTGACGCTAGTGAGTTGTTACGAGACGAGTTGTTATGTGACAGTACTGCACGAAAATTGCTGCAGCAGATGTAAATAGATGAAAAATAACTTTTCTGTCTTGGTACATACTACTAATTACAATATACGGACCAAAGTGAGTTTGATACAAGTAGTAATCACATAAATCTCATGTAAAATAATTTTATTTTTTGCTAAATTTAATGCAATTCAATGTTTAATCTACAGAGATGATTAAAATGTTTATTATTAACTTATCATTTAGTTTACGCAACCATAATAACTCAGAAAGATTGCGGCGACTATACCATTTATCACTGCCAATATCTTAGCGTGTTATTCACATAATCTAAGAGAAAAAACACTTGTCTAAACAGTTTACTAGTCTACCCATTTGTCTTTACATTTTTGTCGTCTTCCCAATTCATCACACTGTTTTATCACTTATTCATCAAGGTCTTGCCAACTTCTATGTCGATTTGCTTGTTTCCTTACCCATCCGCCGTTTCACCAATATCCGTTGTCATATTACCCGACTGCGCGAATGAAAAATAGTTGTTTTTCACCGTGGACTTTGTAAAGTATAATCCATCCCCCATAAAATGTGAATTAATCAATGGTTGATAAAGATCAAAGAACCAAACAATCAGGGATTGATATAGGCGGTATATTGTTACTTACAATTAAGGGTCACCAATTTGTGGCCATGGGCATTATTAAACTTATTATTAAACGGTAACCTAATTAAGGGTCACCAATTCATTTAATACTTAGTTTTTATTTAGGCATCCTCTAAAATAGCAGTGGTTTTTTTGTTACTTAATTGAAGGACATGCACATGTTACCTACCTCTGAGCACCCACCTCTTTGCTACCCCCTCTCAGTCACTACTCGCTCTGCCTCGCTAGTTCACTGAATTCAACCGTCGTCGTGGGCGGGGCAGGGAAGTCAAGTCCGTCATTCGGAGTCATGCAGAGAGGAGGGGGAGGGGGAGGAAAGGGTGGTAAGGGGCAAGAGAAGGGGGAAGGGAGGGGAGGGGAGGGGTGATGGAGCGCGATCCGAGGCCAAACAGGGCACGGGCGCAAATTGAAAAGAACTCCCGCGCGACGAGCACAATTTCTGAAATGAGCGAAGGAAAAAAGAGAGACAGAGGACGAAAGAAGGAAGCTGAAAAGGAAAGAGAGAGAGAGAGAGAGAGAAAGAAAAGCACGAGGAAAGAAAGACCGCGAGCAGGCACGCGGGACTTTTCGCGTGTGCGACAGAGCGAGAGAAAGATTAAAAAAATCCTGCCGTTCTTTTTATTCGTCTTCTAATTTTAAGACGCCACTTCATGGAATTATTCCCGTCTTTATCTCGCGAAGGCGGGCGCGTCGCCCGGCCTACGTCTTTTGTTCCCACGCGTCGCTCATTAAGCATATTGCCGTGCCGAGCGCTGGCGCCGCCTTCGAGCAGGTGCCAGCTCCGGTCGCCTTCTTGCTGACGTGTTTCCCGCAGAAATCGAGACCTACAGAGGACAATAATGCCGTTGAGACCGAGATGATTCCGAAGTAATGTTTCGTAGATTGATTAATATAGTTATTTTGTGTAATTCTTTCATATCAAAACGGAAGAACATATACAGCTGTAGAATCAGCTAAATACAGCTCTAGATTCCAAAATAAACACGATTTTAAAGATGAGATGTTCAAAACACGTTCTGACGTATACAGTTATAAAATAACGCTTAGACTCAGATGGATCAAAGATAACCCTGAATGAGAGCACAAAGATTTGTTCTTCGACTAGGGGCTGTACGATGTAGCAGGCTTTCGTATCTCTGTTCCAATCTGGTTCATCGTTATACGAAAATTAATAAACGAGATGTTGTAATTATAGTTCTAAACAAAATTATTTGTATTATTAGGTTGATTTTAGAACGATTAGAATATGAATTTACGATCCTTGGAAGAGCAGTTTTAAAATAATTTCTTAATTCTCTGTGGAAATGATTAATATAGAATGGGTGAAAACCTGCGATAAAATAACTAAGAGTTTGCCTAGTTTTGTTAGTAATCCACGCATGATTTCAAACATTCTTAACCAATCACAAAATCTGCAGGAACAACCAAATTAAAACCTATCAATACATACATTAATATTGTTGGGGAGTAGCTCTTATTCGTCTTATATTTCAAACATTTATCACTTAATAAATTCCTCACATGCCAAGTAAGCAGATGCGCACGCTCTATAACGACAATTATACTGAATTAGGGTCACAATGTTTTTTATATTTGAAGTTTTGACCTTTATCCAAGTTTTATTTCAAGCGTTGTATTTTAATTATTCGCTATTAATAGCTAACAAAGTAGTAATAAAAAATAGCAGATAATTTACGTTCTTTATTAATAAGTTTAATAATGCCCCTGGCCACATACATCGTACGAATTAATTCCTATGGGTATCCCTACAGTTAACTAGTCATATCGACTAATTTTTAACTAATTTTTCAAGCCTTATTTTATTCTTGTATCATTCTATCGAGTGGCAAACCTCCAGCGGCAAGGCTCCCTCCCAACCGACGGCAGGCGCCACCGCTGGCGCGCTCTGGAATTCCGCGCGGGGCGGAAGCTGCGGCTCGACGCGACAATTATGCAAATCGGCCGCTCTTCGGCCAAATGACAGGGAAATTGGGCGGCCCGCGCCGGCGGCTAGGGCGGGGGTTGCGACGCGACGGAGACGTCGTCGGTCCGTTCGCAGATGCTCGCGGGAGGAGGAATCATTGCGGACGTCATCATCATTATCATCGTGATCATCAGGACCCGTCATCAGGTGGCTCCGTGCTACCCTAGCTCGCACCTCCTCCTCGCTTGTCTCCCCACCCCCACCATCCACTGAAGAGGAGAGGATGACACACCGACGGAAGCATACGCAAGATTAGAATAAGGACTAGCGGAGTACACAAGCCTCATCTTTTGAAAAGGAGAATAGAGATCTGGAGAAGATAAGAATATACTCTTACTATTCTAACAAAAGTTTCTAAGACTCGGATAATGAAACGGAAAACGTGGAAAGTAGTACAAGGAGGAAGTACATCAAAATAAATACAATGCAGAGGAAGACAAGGAGGAAACGAGATGGATGCAGGAAGATGGTTAAACATGCGAAGTAAAAAATAGACGACTTAAAAGTGATATGACTTTCAAAAGAAAAATTAAAGAAAACATTGCATCGAAATTCCAAAAGAAAATATTAG